TATTTTTTGATAAATCTAATATTTGATATTCTTGGAATGAATTGTTAGATATTTCTGTAGCAAGAAGTAAATGTGATGGTTCACTAATCTGTTCCAACTGAGTACAAGTATTCTTTGATATACCTAATATTTGAAAATCTTGTGAAGAATAGTTAGATGCTGTTGTAGGGTGAAATATATGTGATGGTTCAAGAGGTTGAAAGTTGTTTTTTGTTACTCTCTCTTCATGAGGTCGAGAAATATTTGACATTTTAAAAGGACTATAATATGGCATTGATGGATTCAGACACACTTTTGACCAACCATCATTTAAATTTAAAGCTAGACTTTGAAGAAGGTCTTTATTTGAATGGACAGCAAAACAGTTACTTTGTAACTTGCCCCATTCCATTTCGATACGTTAAACCCATTCAAAGTTTTGATATCCTTAATTTTCCGAACATAGGCCTTACGAGATCCCTCAAACTTTAATAAAACCACTAAAACATAAAATTGTTAATATTTCAGCTAAAACAAAAAAGAAAGATAATCTATTGGACGAACTTGATCTTGCAAATCTAAAAACAGTTTGGAGATGAAATATTACAAATATCACTAATTAAAATGTACTTAATAATTCATTGATCAAAAAACATTTTGGTAAGTTTTTGTATATACAGTGTGTTCCGCTTTTCATAAGTACATCCTAATATCTCAATTATTAATAATGCGATTTTTTTCAAATTTTTGGCGATGATTGTATGTTAAAAAAATGAAGTATTTGGCATGGTAAAAATTTTTATTTGCCATTGTCGTTCGGTGTTGGGGGGTAAAAAAGGCTTTATTTTTTGGAAAAAGGATATTACGGCTTATTTTGGATAACTTTTTCTATCAGATTTAGAATCGGCACCCCAAAAAAACCCTTAATTCATATTTTTAATAACAACATAGGTCAGCATGCGAACGGTAACAGAGCGCGGGTATCTTAGCAAAATTTCAAAAAATATATAAATGATAGTATTAACAGTATTGCAAGAATACAAAATTTAACAAAAACGGTATGGAGGTGTTTGAAACGCAATAAGATTAGGCCATTTAAACTAAAAAGTTAAAAATAATCATCCTATTAGAAAAAGGGACTTAAAAATAAATAAATTCTTTTTTGCCAAAAAAAGCTCTTGAGAGTTTGAAAATATGAATTTAGGGGTTTTTTGGGATGCCGATTCTAAATCTGATAGAAAAAGTTATCTAAAATAAGCGCTAATATCCTTTTCCCAAAAAATAAAGCCTTTTTTACCCCCCAACACCGAATACCAATGGTAAATAAAAATGTTCACTATGCCAAATACTTAATTTTTCTAACATACAATCACCACCAAAATTTGAAGAAAATCGCATTATTTATAACTGAAATATTCGGGTGTACTCATGAAAAGCGGGATACACTGTATAGTGTGAAAAATTAAAAAGTTACAAAATTTTATGCAATTTTAAAAAGCTTAGCTATGTGTAAAAAAATCTTATTTTGAATATCTCAAAAAAAAATTCTTATTTTCTTTTGCTTGTTATAATTACGATTCACGACGAGAAACTTTGCACATGCTCTTGTGAAAAAATTTAAATTGGAAATATAAAAAATGCTCATTGTTAATATTATTCACATCTATGGACACACTGCCAGAAGAAGTGTACTAAAGATAAAAAAAAAATATTTTTAAAAATCAACTAAAATGTGTACCTACCTCTTTGATTTTCCCATTTTCTTAAGATCGTAAATTTTGATTAAATGTAAAAAAATCTGATCAAATCAAAGTGCTAAAAAAAATACATATTTATAAATATTCATATACTGGGGTTGTTAAGGATAACACCCGCATAATTTTAACTTTAAAGCCTATTGTTACATCCTACAACTAAAGAAATTCGTAAAATTATGTAAAATTTAAAAAAACAAAAAATTAATTGAGTATTCTTTTTTATATACAGATTCGGAATACATTTTTCAAGTGCACAACGCAAAAGTATAAGTAGCAATAGAAAGAGGAATATTCATATGAAGCGAGAATGAATGTGAAAGCAGATATAGGTGTGGCTATCACATGACGTACTTCCAATCGCTTCCGTAAACTTCGATAGTGGGATATAGGGTGCGCTCGCTTATTATAAAGCTATTGCAGTTCCTCCTGTTGAACATGTTGCACATGAAAAATTTATTCCGAATCTGTAGAAATAATACCTCACATGATCACATAAGAAGAAATTTTATTTTAACTTCCAAGTTAAAATATGACCCCCTAGAGATAAAAACCGACTTAATGCCTGAATTTGGGTAACAACTAACTACTAAAACTGTTCAAAATTTCAATTGTGCGGGTGACTTAAAGCCAATATTAAATTCAGTGGAAAATATTCTGTGAAATGTTGACATTGACACTTTTGGGCATTTCGTCTCTTGAGGGCTACTTTTATAATCCCTGTACAATTTATTTATTGATAAATTACTATTAAGGTATATTCTCTTTGATTTCATACGTCCATAGTGGCTTTCTTTACCTCTTAAGGTAAAGATATGTAAGCATTGTAAACATTTTACCTTATAGATTTTCAGCTAAAAAACGTAATATTGTAAAACATCACATTTCAAATAGCTCATAATTTCTATTTTTAAAAAGACAAAATAAAATTGAACAAATATTAAATTTAAAATTAAAAAAAAAAATATGAATCTCAGGAAGGAACTAGAAACCAATTATTGACCAGTAAAAAATATACTTTATTCAATTAGTAACCAATGGATACACCATGTAATGACCAATAACTGGTATCATAAATAAAAAAATTATGGAGTCATTTATAAACATTTTATTTTGAAAAAGAAAACAATAATATAAATGTTGCATATTTTATGAATATTAATTTAAAAATATTTACCATTAACTGTTAAAAACAAAACATATTTAACTATTAAAACAAATTAAAACAATTAAAAAGTGTAACTCTAAACAAACATATTTACATTTTCATTTCCTTCACACTGTATACGCCCCCTTTTATTTATAATCTTTGGTTCAGTTATCTTATTTATGATATCATCCTTTTGATACCATAATACATCCATTGGTTGAGGCCATTTCCAGTTAGTACCACTTTGAGTCATTGCACTAATTTTATATTCTCTTTCATTCTCTTCCATCTTGACCTCCAACACTCTTCCCAGAAAATACTTACTATCGTACTTTATAATACAATAATCCCCACTGGAAAAGGCTGCATTTGTTTTCTCTTCTGATTCGCTTTCTGAAGAAGAGTATGTATTCGCGGCTTCTTCTGACTCGCTTTCTAGCAATGATTCAGGCTGTTCTGCTAAATCTTTTTTTATTTTCTCACTTTTCTTTCTTATGCGTTCTTCTTTCCTAATGTTTATTTCTTCTTCCTGTTTATTTTTAACGACTTTTTTCTTTTTATAATATTCTTGCCACTGTGATGAAGATTCTACTGCTGGAATTTTTTCTTTAATTTTTCTCTTTGTGTCTCCTACATTTTTTTTGGCGCAGGCCAAAAGAGTGCCTTTTTAAAAGGTGTCGGCATAAACTCTAAAATATTGTCTTCATTGTGTACTTTTATGAAAGGAGTTTTGCATATTTTCAATTTGTTGTCGCATAAACTGTGACGTCGGTCTGATAGACCAAAAAATGTTTATGGGTGTAATAACGTCAAATTCTTGAAATATATTTAAGATTTATTAAATAAAACTATGTAATTCATAAAAGGCTTTTATATTAAGCAATTTAAATAAGTAAACCTTAAGTTAACATAACTAAACCAAAATACATAATGAAATATATAAATTATAAAAATTTAACAAAATCAAAAATCCGTTTGCAAAAATAAAAAGTACCTATTATTTATTGTTCTTTTGTGTAATTTGTAACTCATAATACATTGCACATTTAACTAACACATGTTCTATGCATAAAAATTGTTTGCACCTTTTACAGCAATATTTCGTCTTCCTATTATTTTTAGACCCGCAAGGCACACATCTTCCCAACATGTTTCGTCGTTCTTCATATGGTTTCTGTGGTGGTTGTATCCCACATATTTCACAAATTCTAAGGCGTATCAATTTAGGCTAATAGTTGGAATTGGCACGTACTCTTAGATGACATCAATTAAACTAAGAGCTAAATTTTCAAGAAAATGCCTTCTTACAATTTTTTCTTTTTTATTGATGGAATATATTACCTGTGAATTTATGCTCGAAATATTTATTAAGCTATGAAAAACAGCCATTTTCCACCTTCTTGTGGTTCTTTCACAGTTGTAATTCGATGAAAGTTGATCTACAGTATCTACTCCACTTTTGGTCCCATTGTAATCCATAATTATTTCTGGCTTGCCTGTTTGCAAATTAATCTGATCGTCATCATGACAGGTCATTTTGATAATATTTTTAGCCCTTGTTCTAACATTCTTCGGAAGTTTGTTCTTTTTCCAAACTGTTTTTTTGTCTTTCCCAATAAAATGTGGTTCCAATCTTAATTCTAGGTCGTCGTCGACTTCAAAATTCTGCTCTGTATCAGAACTTTCGTCATTTGTCTCAAGTTGGTCCTCTACATTCTCGTCAACTTCATCGTCATAGACCAAGGGACCAGATACGTCATTCAATGCCTCTTCCATAAGCATCTCCAACCGTCTTTGCTCTTGCTCATAGTCTTGCTCTAAAATATTAAATAAACACATAAACTAGTGCCCTAACAGTGAAATTCTAATAAACTCTTACCTGCAAAATAAACGATCACTTTTCCTAACAATATACTTTTTTAATAACACAAACAGTGACGTTGGTATAAGGGACCGAAATATCTCCTAGAGCGAAATGTAAAAAGCGCACAAAGTGACCAGGCCACATGAACACTTGTTGCGTTAGACTGAAGGGTTAATAAATCTACATGGTCTTGATCTTCTTTTACTGTAGTACTTTGTTGCACTTCTTCAGTTTGTGTAACCTGTTGTACCACCATTGGTGGTAATGATTCCTTATAAATATCTTTATTGTCATTATTAGGGGGTATTTGTAATACGATTGGATCAGTTGGGCTGTCACCTATTTCTGAAGAGTAAGCAAAATCATTTTCATCAAAGGGAATAACTATGCTATCATCTTCTAAAATAATTCCCTCAATGTTAGATAGGTCTTGATTTTGCTACAGCACTTCAGCGATGACGTGGTCTACGCTAGATGAGCACATATCTAGTGAATGGGTTTTACTAGTGTTAGAGTAATTTCTCTATGATTCAGTTCATTTTGAAAGGACTTTTGTCTTTACTCTAAATTAAGTTACAAATAATGGAAGAAACGAATCTTTTACAAATGTGTACTCGTTTACAATTAATGTCCTTATTCGGACATTCTTTATTTTCCCTATCTTTTGCTTTTTCTTTTATGTGGTTCTCATATTTTTCAGCCTTTCCTGTAGTTAGCGTATTCTCCTTCTTCCTTAATTTTACCTCTTCACAGACGTCGCACCTGTCTACTTTTGGAACATGAAAGTATAAATTGTAGTGTGTAAAAAAAATATATCTATAAAAAGATTCTTTTACAGGTTTCTTTTGAGCATCGTTACAAAATTCAACGTAGAGACTGTACATTTTCTTTATACTGAGAGTAGGATCTAGGTACTCGCTTTGTGTATTAGCCCTGAAATAGTGCGATTCAATCTTGGGGAAAGATTCTATGTGCTATTTTACGAAATTGACATCTTTATCCGGTATGGTATGTTTAATATGCTTGCCAACTTTTCTTGTGTCGGGTATATTTGAAATGTCCTTTTTGGAATGGGCGGTATACACTGGAGTTTGACTAATAGCTAGAGTTCCCAGATAAAATAATTTGCATACTTGAATTTCGTTACTTTTAATTTGAAAATAATACGAAAATTAGTACTTTCTTCTACTGTTGGTATCAGTTTTGTTTTTTCTGTGACTGTCAACCTGAAACTTTTTTGTTGTAGACAATATAAAAAGCCGTTTAAAGTATATTATCCATCCAAAACTGTTTTTCTTTCATCTTCAGTGATTTTATTTTGGCACTTAAACAAACAAGTATTTCTGCAGTCTTTTAGTGTATTTATACGTTTCTCAGGAACTACTTTATTTCTAATCGAGACCTATTCTTTACCAGCACTGTGGGCAGTTTTTCTAACATTACATTTCCAAGTTTCTGGTTTTCTAACTCTTTCGTTTCAGTGATTTCGGCAATGTAGTTTGGGCGAGTTCGACTCCATTATCAGCACAAACGTGTGCATCTGCATCACCAGGCAATGTAGTTTGACTCATCGGAAGATTTGGTCTCAGAAGTGTCTTCTGGTGGCAAATATTCTTTGTCTATGTCGGAATCATATCCATCAAACCCACTTAAAATTTCTGGATAGTTTTCTAGCCTTCTTGCAACTGTAGCAACCTTATTTTTGTTAATTTTGTTCCTAAAACGTAACAAACTGTAATTATAAATAGCTATCCATTTATCCCAAGATCTCGTGTCTAAAATATTAAAATAACATTTTAATACATTATTTTATTATAAATAAATTTAACCTTACCTCACTCTTTTTATTTCCAATCATATATCGTCTAGATCAGCGTTTCTCAACCTTTTTTGGCCCGCGGACCAGTAGAATTGTTAAAAAAAAATGCGGCCAGTGATATTTTCTTAACAACAAATTTTTACTAAGTATTTATAAAGAACAACTACGTAAGTTGGTTGTAACATTTTTATTATCATTTGCCTACAGTAATATTTAAATGTAAAGATATATAATTATACATACATATAATAATAAGTAAGTTTATAAACCTTTAACAAAAATGACAGAAAATTATTAAAAAATCACAAACTCATGGATGTAGGAACACGACAAAAATGTCATTCTTCCGATTACCAAAAAATTAAATCAATGGGAACAAACTCTTAAGAAAAATTAGAACAAAAAATCAGAAATTATAAAAATAATCAAAATCTCATTACATATGAACATATTATTAATGAGAAGATTGCTGCTGCTCTTCTTCAATCAACTTGTCAATTGTTGGTTCCAAATTAGACAAGCTAAGTCGGAGCGGTGAAATAACCAAAAGCCGATTCCTAAATTTATTTGTATTACCATCATAGATAAATATCCCGATTCACATAAATATGTAGTTGCGAAGGGGACTAACATTTTCATTGCTTTCTCGTATAGTGGGTCATTAATAAATCAGAATTAGCTGCTTGCTGAATTCTTTTAGTAACACCAGAATATCTGCCAACCATACTAGCCGCCCCATCGGTACATACACCTACGCAATTTTTCCATTCTAAAGAATGTTTAATAATATAAGAATTAAGTGCGTTAAAAATCTCATCACTTGTTGTATATGAAACCAATTCTATACAACACAAGAATTCTTCTTTTATTTCCTCCAAAATAAAATCAATATATCTAACGTAGAATTAATATAGCTTTTTGGGAAATATCGCATGATTCATCAATTTGTATTGCAAAAAGTGTTTATTCCTTTATCTTTTGGATTAACTAATATTCCAAATTGTCTGATAATTTTTCAATTCTTCTTCTTATAGTATCATTAGATAAGGGAATCGATTTGATTTTATCAACAGCAGCCTGTCCAAACATCTCTAAACAAACGTCTATTAAATTTTCCCCAGTGGTAAAGGATTTTTTGGTTTTAGCAATTCGAAGGGCAACTAAGTACGAGCATTTTAGTAGTGACTTGTTCGGAATAAAATTTTGTTTAAATGTTTTTGTTTGCAATTCTAACTCTTGTTTTTTACGCTCAAAATATTCATGCGGTTTATTGTCCAGCTCAGAATGTATAGCCTTCAAATGTGGTAACATTTTCGATGGTTCTTCTGTTCAAAGAAAAAAAGGAAAAACTAGGGTCTTAAACGATACACCCGAAAAAACAGAAATTGAGAATTATTACAAAGCAATTGAAGAAAAGAAAAATTTAAAAGCCAGAAAAAAAGCAAAAACAGTTAAGAAAAATGTGTTTAACGATAATGAACCAAAAAAAGTCCAAGAAAGTAAACAAAAAATATATAGAATATAGCAGTGACAGCGATAGTGAGGTTTAACTATGTGATTGTTCATCAGACGAGGACCAAGAGAGTTACTTCGAAATGATAACAGAAGAAGAAAATGAAGAAGTTCCTGAAGGTCCTATTAAAGAAGGCGTTTACGTTTTAGTACAACTGGCGACAAAAAAAATTAAAAAACATTTTGTGGCTAAAGTAAATAATGTTCTTGACAATGGTTACGATGTCCACTTCTACAAAAAATTATCTGGGGCACCAACATCAAGCGTATTTTTTCATAGTAATGAAGATGTCTCTTTCGTTGACACCAGTGATGTTATATTGCAAATTCCTCCACCAAAGACAGTTCGTTTTCGTTTCCGAATTTTCGCTAACGTTCTACGACTTCTTATGCCTCAACTTGCCTCCGCCTCTCAGCAGCGACTTGGAAGGGTCAGCTGGCTTCATGCCGAAGTTCAGTTTTTTATCTTTCTCTACCTTTGAACGGGTGAGATCGTTTATTTCTACGTGTTGGGATGAGCCCCACGTTTTCTCTTAAATTGCAACCACCTTTTAGGAGTGGTTTTGTTATTTCTTACAACTCAAGCCTCAAGTTATTGTGGCAACCCTTTTTTAATCTAGTTATATATTAATTTTCATGCTTCTTCTACATTTATTGACGATGTCTCTGATGATGGCCTAACAGGCTGAAAGCGCTCAGACTAATATTATTGAGTTTTATTATTAATAAAACTCCACCTACACACTTTAAATACTTTCGATTCATTTCTTATTACCCAGTGTGTACACACCACTCAACCTCTTCTTCAATTATTATAATGTTTCGTTTAACAATAAATTAAAGACACACCCAGACAACACAATTTACAATGATAAAGCTGCTTAAGTTTGAGAATAGCTGGTCTAGATCCTCTTACCACTTACTTAAAACTTTTCAGATTATATCTTTAAGTCTTATCACAATTTATTTACACTGTCACAATGTCAGCTTTGTACGGCTGACAGAGCAGACGTGATACATTTAAAATCGAAAAGTGAGTCTGGCCGAGAAAAGTGAATTCTAAAAGCTCTAGGGCTCCGGTGCTGAGAAAACCGGCGACGCGCATGTGCGAATATATCTTTGTACAAAGTGGACGGCAGGTGAGGGCCCCAAACCTGCGCTAACCAGTTTAAAAGGATATCGTGTTGCGCCAGTGCCAAACGGAAAGTGCCGACGATATTCATCGGGTTTAGCTATTCGCTCTCTCACTCGAACGTAAAGAAAACAGTTTTGTGTTAAGTGAGGGGTAATTTACGCACCGAGGTTCTCGCAGGTTCTGCGGCGTTGACAGTTACGCGGTCACAACAAACCAGTTTTTGGAGACGGTTCTTGGTCCTTAGGAACCGAACTCTTTTTAATCTCGAACTATTTGAAAACGGTGTAAGTGTCCGGAACAAAACGGTGAAACTAGTTACTTGCAGTTCCAGTTTCGCGGTTACAAGTGCGGACGCACGCAGTTTATAAGGCTGATTCTTGACTATCAAGAATCAGACCTTTTTTTTGACTATCAAGAATCAGACCTTTTTTTGACATAAAACATATTCTACATACTTTTTCGGTCTCGCGGTTATCAGTGCGGACACACGCAGTTTATAAGGCTGATTCTTGTCTATCAAGAATTAGCCTTTTTTTGGCCAAAACCATATTCCACATACTTTTTTAAATTAAGAATTAGTGCAGTATAAGTAATGGAAGGAGACACGGATGATCCTTTGGGTCACCGGGTGGAAAGCAAATCTGTAAATTGGAAAAAGAGATCAAAGATTAGGAAGGCGCGTAGTCAATCCCCAGACGGGACAGTATAAAAAGGACACCTTCTAGAACATGCAGTTTCTCGATAGCAGATCCGGAGGCAATTTAAGTGCTCGATAACTCCCCGGACAATAGCAAAAAAAGGAACAGGGACACAGATTCAGACAGCCCGGAAACAAGAGAACTGAAAAGCGTGAAACTCAAAATGACAAAAGATCAGGAGGAAATGGCCAAACAAGCTAAAATTATCGAAAGAATGATTAGAAAAGAACAAGAAGCAAAAAGAAAAGGAGAGATTAGAAAAAATTGAAAGAGGAAATCGCAATAAATCAGAACAAAATGGGGAAACGGACACAGACAAGAAGAAGAAAGAGGAAAAACCGGACGGGCAACAAGAAAACGTCCCTACCGACATCATAGGCGCAAATACCGCGAGTGCCTGGTCAGTGTCGGAAAGTGTGGCGCAGAGTTCGGCAAACACGAATCAGGTGAGCATGAAATCCAGTTCACAAAACACAGTTGCATTACAAGGGGGCGAGACTTTACAGAGACACAGACAACAATCCAAACCACAAACGACAAAATGAAAGCGCTCAGACAACAAATGAAAGAGGCAGTCACAAGGACAACTCCGGAAGGGAGGGGAAAAATCGCGTTCGCGTCGAGAAAACAAAAAACCGTTCTAACGGGCTAGACGACATGGCAACACTTTACGCAGACCTCATAACACAACTATTACTACAGGAAATAGAAATAAACAAATTACAACAAGAAAATATATCATTAAAAGGAAACAGACAAAAATCAGACATCACGGAAGACAGACTAAAAAATCTTCAAAACGAAATAATAAACGCGGTAAAACACAAAACAGACGACAAAGGACCACAACCGACAAACACAGGCCAAACAAACACAAACAAGCCACCTACACACATTACAAACATAGACTTCCTTCAATTCGGACAAAGGACATACGCCCAACTGACAAAAAAGACAATCACAAAAGAAAACACCCAAGAAAAAAACCATGGACAACCCCAGAACAAATAAGGAAATACGACACAGTAATAAAAATAAAAGAGGGAGAAACGGGCAACATGCTCACTGAACTTAAAAAGGTCATAAAACCCAAAGACATAGAAGGCACGCAAATCAGACACACAAAAACGGCTATATTATTAACTTCACAAACAAAGGACAAACAAAACGAAATACTAAGACGGACACAACACTCAACAACACTAGACATAAAGGACGGTGCCAGACAAGACGAACCGACGGCAATACCCACGGGACTACGTAAAGAAATGACATTGGACGAACTGACAGACGCACTTAAAATGGAAAATGACGATCTAAACGACAACTTCGGAGACAGACTCAAATTACTAACAGTTGTATCGACCCGGCCTTGCCGAAACCCATACTAGAAAAATGTCTACATAAGGGGACCCATTGACACAATAAAACATCTTTTAAAATCAGGGAAAGTCTATGTAGATTTCCAAACAATCTTTATAAACGAGGCCACACAAATAGCACTCTGCTTCAGATGCTGCCGCTACGGACACGTGTCAAAATACTGTAGGGAGACACCAACATGTTACCGGTGTGGAGATGGACACGACGGAAACACTTGCAGTAAGGACAACTTCAACTGCATCAACTGCGAGAGACTAAGACTGACACCACGTGGACACCAAGCTAGAGACTCAAACTGCCCTACTTACAATAAGAAAATGGACGAGGCTCGGGCTCAGACATCTTACAAATAGACAGACAAACAAACCACAAACAAACTAACATAACAAGACTAAACAAACACAACACAACAAACAAATACAAAACCCGATAGACAAACACAAAATAAAAGAGTATGAGGTTTATACAATTTAACATGGGGCGGGGAATACAGGCAGCCGACCAACTCATAAGAAAAATGTACACAGAACAAATTGACATAGGTTTAATACAAGAACTGGCACATACACTAAACGGACAACACACATATAACATAATTAACAAAGACAGTAAAGCACCCATACTCATACACAACAAATGGACAAACAAAACCATCACCCACAAAGACATGACAGACTCCAACACCACAACCATCTCTACACAAGTAACGACAACGACAAACATAACAATAATTAATATTTACGACGAACCGGAAGGAGACACGAACAACAGACTTGACAGATAAACAAAAGATCAATAACCTTACAACAAAAATCATAATCGGGGGAGACATGAACGCCAAGAACGCCAGCTGGGGGGGGGGGGGACAAATCACAGACATAAGGGTGGAAAACATCATGACATGGGCAGTTCAACAAGACATGGCAATTAACAATACACACGACAGCCCACCGACATTTAACTCCAACAGAGGCAAAAGCTGGGTCGATCTAACTATTACAAAAGACATCTACATACACAATTGGCACGTTTCAGACGAGGACACACTAAGCGACCACCAATACATAACGTACAACACAGACAAAACGACCTACCAACGCAGACAAAACGACAAGATAACATTCAATCTTCAAAAGATAGACAAAACTAAATTTAAACAAGCAATAGACAACACAGACGGAAATACACAAAACCACGCAAAATCGACTCAAAATAAAATTCAACAAATCCTCAAAAATAACACATCAACGAGCAAAGCAAAAAAGCTACAAAAACACAAGCGTGGTGGACAGAGGACCTAGACAAAACGAGACAAGAAATTAACAAAAAACGCAAAACCTACCAATTAGAACAAAACGAGCAACTAAGACAAATGAAACACGACGCATACATTCGACAAAGACGTATCTACAAAACAAAGTTAAAAGACAGCAAACGACAATCACTCATACATACCCTGACCACAAACGACCCAAACAATCCTTGGGAGACGGTACATAATAAAAAGCAAATACACGCAACCAAATATACTAACCACAATCAAGAGGGAAGACGGAACATAGACGAAAGACAGAACAGAGACG